CTTTAACCACAATGCTTTCTTGGTTTCATTTCCTACACTGTACTAGAATCCAACATCGCGTGACATTCCTACTTCCAATCTCCAAGATGACAGTGTGGAAGCTTTAACAAGGTCATAATAACCAAGGAGGTCACACTAGCAGAGCAGTAGATAAGAGCAAGAGTCATCCTACAGCACTTGACAGATGCCTTTAACAGTGTCCTGAAAGTGAATATTCTTGCGCTGTTGTAGTGATCCACTGGACTTTAAGCCAAACCCTACGTTGATATTAGTATAAAAATGAATATCACAGTGTGCCCCCTGGACTCTGCCCTGCAATACCCACAGATCACTTTATCATTCATTGCCTTGTGCTTCTGGCTATACCAGCCATCACGATCTTGGAAAGCCCATAACTAAATTCAGCTTATTGAGCCTCCCAGCCACTCCGAGGGGAGTGCAGAGTACCCGAGGGGTGCTGGGTGGATGGGATGACTTTGCTGTTGCTTCTTGAGTTAGACTGTTACCCCTTCTCCTTCTCTTTTTTTGACCTTGAAGGGAAAGACAGAATACAGTGTCAGGATGTTTTGATTATGGTCCAGATTCTTGGCGAGTACTTGATTTTTTCATTCAGGGGGAGCTATGTCACCTTCTGTCAGCTAAGAATTTGGTCCGTGGTGTTTCATGACACCGCTGCTATCGAAAAAGTGTTACTGTCTTGTTTCTCGTTGTGGTGTTAGTGCATTTCTGTTTCCAGATACTGTGACTCTTATGGCACACGTCAGACTGAAGTAACACAGTTCCTTTCTGTAGCGGTAGTGGGTATAGTATTTTTAAATGAGAGCAAATGGAACGTTTTTAACGTTTGCAGAAAATAGGTCTCCAATCAACATGTGCACTGATTTATTCAAAGATATAGGTAAATCTTCCAGTGTGATGTGAGTACCTTATCTAATCTCCATATATTTTCTATTATTTCTGACCCCTTATCACCTCCCAGGTGCATGATATGATGCTTTCATTTCAGGACTAATGTCATTTTCTCCTAGCTGCCTATTTAGGACTAGTATGTACAAACTGTCTATTTTGTAGCTGGTGATTTTAATAAAATGTGAAGTAAATGACACCCTTATAAATACAGGCTGTGTTTGTCATTTGTCAATCAAAACCTGCAGTGATATATATAAAGAAGGTACCCATGAGCTCGCCAGATGGAGAAACAACAAACTGCCAGCACAGCTTTAAAATGTGAAACCTGGTTTAACCCTGCTTCAGAACGTGGTTTATCGGTGTGCTGTGCCCATCTAATCTTTAATAAACATCTTGGATGAAAATGTGTCACAATTTTTCTTACCCTTGCTCTCAAATGCAGAAGTTAAATTGGTTTTGGTTTTGGTTTGGGTTTTTTTTTGGTTTTTTTTTTTTTTTCAGAAATGGCAATTTTATTTATTTTTTTACTATTCTACTAGATGGGATTGGCCCATGAGCTCCCTCTCCTAGTTACTGAGAAGCACCATCTCTCAGGATGCTAAGCAGAGTTCTAGAAGTAATGAGGTACAGGTATAAATCATTGCAGGAGTTGGTCCATTGGCTCTTTCAGTCTTTGTAATTTCTTGTGTCTACTTCTAATAATCTTTTTTCAATAGAAAAGGAAGGAAATACTGAGAAGGGATGCTGAGGTAGTTTTTGCTCTTAGTTGTGTGAAACTAAGAAAGAAATTAGGGCATTTTGTGCTGGCTCCATGTGCAAAATCACTCACACAAATCATTGTGCCTGGAACAAGCAGTCCTGGTCTCAGGACTTGAGATATAATTTTCTGTCATAGATTAATACAAATCAATAGAGTCTGGTTATGTATGATTTTAGTGCTTCTAACTCCAACTGAGTTAACTGGAAACCCTTGCTGGATTGGGCCCTGAGTTTTATCGCTGGGATCTTTCATTTCAACACCAGCAGTTTGGCACTCGGAACATCTCAGTTATCTATTCAAGGTTCATGCCTAGAGATTCAGATTTATCTTTATTTCTGTGAGACTGAATTGAAATGTATTTTCATTTGTATCGCTCAATGATGCATTAAGATGCTTTTCAAATATCATTTGACCCTTAAAGGACAAGTAATGTCCTTTAAGAGAAGCCCGGTAGAGCTGGCAGAGTTGCATTCCCAGAATGCCAGGTAAGAGCTGCGTAAAAACCTGTTACGTGCCTGAGGCTTCGTCATACACACAGATCACAGCATTAGTTCATGCTCAAATAATTTTTATTTTTAAATGCTTGGGTGGCGTGATTTGGCTTACAAAACTGATACGAAATGTTGAAGGCAGAGGAGAATAATAATTCAGAAATACTGAATGTGAAGCCTGCTTTCTCCTATTATGTCACACATAAGCTCTGTGACAAGCCAAGAGTAAGCTGAAAGTGTCATTTGAGTCCCTCATTTTCAACATCGCCAAATCTGCCCAGCCTCTCCTCCCTGCCGGCTAGTTCCATGGGCTTTCAACGGGAGAGCGAAGGGTCTTCAACCTGGAAATCACTTCTAGGTAAGGCCCACTCACACGCCGGCCCTCCTTCCCAGGGCGTAATTGGTAAATGCTGATGAATCGTTTGAGCTTATAAGCGCAGTATCTAGTACAGTAACTGCTAAATATTGCTACTGTTACATCCTGAAATAATGCAATTGCACACATTCATTATGTCTTAATTGCACATGCTAATTGCGGGTTAGATGCAATCAAAGCAGCACTGCCTGGCAAATGCACTGTGCAAACCACGCGAAACCCTGGTGGAAGGGTTTTCTTTCTTTAAATTGAATCTACTCTCCCACAATTACATGTTTTTGCTTGAGATGTACAATTAGATGTTATTACTCTAATTCTGTAACTACACAATAATCAACCAAACATTACTTTGAGAAGCAAAACAAAACAAGGAAATTTGCACAGCAAGAGGTACAATAAAGAGAACGTCAAAGGTTTCGAGGCAAACCCACAGAAGGAAACAACGGTCATGCGAATGATTAACCTCTGAATACGCCGCATGGCTGTGCTGCAGGAGTGGAGCAGTGAAGTGGTACCCACCACGGAGTCATCAAAGAACTTGCGTATACCCTGACACTCCAGCAATCTGCCCCAATACAGCACGGTCCATCCGTTGATCCTAGAGAAGCCCTTTCAGGGGGCAAGACACTTTGTAGTACGATAATGACTTTTTTGTATACATCAGGGTAAAGAGTGTTTTAAAGCAATCTCAATAGTAAAAGTGATACTGAAAGGATAATCTTGAAAAAGTCCAACAGAGATGACCACTTTAAGCCTTAGTAGCACATGCACAATTGAAGTACAATTGATCCCATTTTTAAAATTCATTAAAAAAACCCCAGTAAAATCTTTATTTTATGAAGGACAAAGGCAAATAATAGAAAGTGAAGGCCATGGACCCTTAACAATTCTGTCAAACACAGATGTTCTGTTTTGATGAAGTAATTTCTTTCTCGTAAGTAACTTGGAGAGCATTA